AATTACTCCAACTCATCTACAACATCTAAAAAACAACATTTATCAAAATTAACATTTAAAATAATAATTCCATTATAAGTGTAAACTATAAATAAACATTGAGTCAGTATAAAATAAACTCGTTGCTATTTGGAGTGAATCTTCTTAAGAAATAGTTTCTCGGTAAAGTATATACATACATACATACATATATATATATATATATATATATATATATATATATATATATATATATATATATATATATATATATATATATATATATATATATATATATATATATATATGTATGTATATATATATATATATATATATATATATATATATATATATATATATATATATATATATATATGTATGTATATATATATATATATATATATATATATATATATATATATATATATATATATATATATATATATATATATATATATATATATATATATATATATATATATATATATATATATATATATATATATATATATATATATATATATATATATGAAGGGTCCAGGGGAAAAACGATGAGATAACCAAAAGTCTCATTTTGAGATATGAGCAAAAGAAACTTTCACAACTGATAAAAACGTGTGCGTATATCAAGTGCATATAAAATAACTATTACAAGATATAGACTTTGTAGAATAAAGTCTACTTTTATGCGTTTTTAACGGTAATAACATGTATTTATCTTCTTAAATTTTTTTTAATCAATAAAATTCAAAGCTGTGCGTGGAGTTTCATCGTTTCTCCCCCGGATTTTTTCAAGTTTTTGCATCATCGCTTTTTTTCAAAAAAATTTTCGACTTTAGTTTTATGGTTCTTGTTGTTACTTTCTAAAAAATTTGCAAAGATTTTGCTTCAGGAATTGGGAGAGATCGATTGTACAGATTTTAAAGTGCACTGTGTTGAGGTGGATGGACGTTCTTCTTTTGGCCTCGCTTTGGCGGTTCCCAAATTATGTTACTGGAAGATAATAAACCGAAAAATGATGCACGATAGAACAGCTCATTAGGAGATTTGCTATCAATCTTACTAATTTAAGCAATAACTTACAATAAAAAATTTAAAGAGAGACAATGTATGACGCCACGCTGTAAAGGGTTGGGATAGGCAATTTTAAAACGCTTTTTTCGTAGGTCTGCCATTTTTTTTTGCTTTTAGCAATACGATATTCTGAAAGGGAACAAAAAATGTTACTAGATGGCACTAGCCCAATTTTTTTGGGCAAATTTGGAACCTCATCGTTTTTTCCCTGAACCCTTCATATATATCAGTGCCGTTTCAAGTGGGTCTGGAGCCCCCCTCCCCAAAACTAGCCATTTGGGCCAATTAACGTCGCCGTTCATACGACTAAAAACAATCAAATTAACGCTTAAATTCAGTTAAATATATTTTATAATTGCTAACTTGATATAGAGTTTATTAGTATAGAATTTTTTTAAATACTGTTTATGTATTATGCAGATAATACACGGAGGTCGCATCCATCAAAAAAGGGTTTGCGACGTGTTTTCATGCTTGCAAACTTATTTATTATGCCTTCATAACTTAATTTTCAATAGTCAATCTTACTTTACCAGTTACTGTTGCACTTGCAACAGTAACTGGTAAAGTAAGATCAACTAGATTGAGATAAGTTTCTTGCAGCTGTTTTTTGAGGCATTTTTTTCCTCTTTGTTAATTATGACAAATCATTTTAACTCCATTTCTAAATCCTCAAAATCTATATCACCAAGCTTCATTTGCAAACTATTGTAATATATATACGAAGAATTTTCATTACAGGCTTTGATAAGGCTCTCAGATTGGTAAAGAAAGTCATTAAGCTTTGTGACAATACTGATCTGTTCAAAACGCTCTCTCACTGATGCAATCGACATATCAATTAATGGCAAAAAAAAATCTGCTTTATACTGATATTCAGGTTGCCGAGTGTGATCAACACATTTGTATGAATAAATCGACATTTTTTTTTTATTCACAGTTTATTCTACTTTCCCACCTGTTATCTGATTATAGTTTGGCAGAAATAGCCATGCTGAATTTTAAAATTTCCCATAGAGGAGGAGACAATGAAAAGAATGTATATAACCTTATAAGAACATTAAAAAAAGAAATTGCACTAATAAATGACTAACGCTCATTTGTTCTTTGTGCGAAATGCATGATGTACAATCTAAAACATTAGAATAATATTTTGCTCTTTTTACCTTAGACAGGTTTTTGGATTCAATCTCATCTTCAAGCCTCGTTCTGTGTGTCATTGCTCAAAGAGTACTCTTTGGTTTCTTTGTCCTGAATTCTTTGCATAAGCTCATTTAGAACGGTATTGTACTTAACCAGTAACTCAAACATCCCAAGAAAGTTTCCATTGCTCTTTGAACCAATGGCTGATTCTGAACCACGGAATTCAAGATTTCTTGCAGAAAGAAATAAGGTAATGGTTAGGAAAAAAAAGTTTTAAAGCAATAAATTAAAATAAATATATAAATAATTCATCCAGTGTTCAAAGAACTTATTATGTTTTCTTCAATTTTCTTTTGTGCAGGGTTTCACATTCCCTCTTAAGCATCTAATAGTAATTGCCCATCACTCTGGGGTTCCATTGTCTCTGGTAGTGCTTCTTTATAGTGCCAATGTCTTGGTGAAAACGTTCTCCATGCTCGTCCAAAACCACACCAAGATTCTCTGGAAATAAAATCCAGATGGCTATGCAAGAAATGTACGTTAAAAGACATCCTGGTACCTAGATCTTGATATGAACTCAGCAGTTCTCCAACTTTATATTCAAATTTGGGAGCTTTGTTGGATCCTAAAAATTTTTTGTAGATATCTTTAAAAGCATTCCACGCTTTGTGTTGTATTTATAATCTAAATAACATTTAGATTATTAGGAAACTCTGTGTCATTGAGGAGAACTCGAACTTGTGGGCCAACAAATATTCCCTCCTTTACTTTGGCGTCACTTAGAGCTCGAAAACTTTGACATATTTGAACCCATTGCTCTTTGGATCCATCGCTTTGAGAAAGTTTTTTATGAGTCCTAGTTTTATATACAAGTGGTGGCAGAAGAATACTCAAACAGCGGTTTAAATTTAACACTGTACTGTCCTGGAATAAATTTTTCACGCTTGAGCTAGTTCTTTTTCACGTAGTGCTTCCGTGTTGCCCGACTGTCCCACAAACATAAAAAGCACAAGTATTTTGTGAAGCCACTCTGCATGCCTAACAGTAAACTAATTACTTTAAGATCGCCACATATTTTCCATTTGTACTAATCATACTTAATTGCATTCAGCAGTACAATCATGCTTTCGTAGGATTCCCTTTAGTGTACTAAGTGTGCGACTGGAATGCTTGGATATAAATTTCCATTATGCAATAGCACAGCCTTTAGAATCAATAAACAGAAGCCAATCATCACGGTTATGTTCAACATTAAAAAATCAAAACATTTCTTCATGATCTAAACAAAAGCGTAGCTGATTAAGTGTCTGAAAACTGCCTGACAGTTCAAAACTTCGGCTACAAAAGGATGTAATTCGCACATCACAAGCAACCAAATACCATTGTTTAAGCCTTAATGCCAACATTTCTGCCATGTTTTTGGACATATATAAGTCCCTTACTAAATTATTTAAATCTTGCTGATTTAGTAGATGAGGCACAGACGTTCAGGCTGGTATTTAGTATCAAATAAAGGATTTTCTGTAAGATCTATAGGTAGTTTTCTAGATTTCTTATTATTGAAAATGCGTTTAAATGCGAAAAAAGTAGTATGGATATCAGACAAATTAGCCCTGATAGAAAGAAACTAATAGTATTTTTGGAACCAGCAGCCTTTTTTGTTGTTGACCAGTGTAATCGAATTCTTTATATGTTGTATTTATGTTGCGCAAATCGTATTTTTTTGCGGATGCGGTTTATGAAATTATTTCTTTAAAATTATTTTAATAGAAATAAAACATTTAAAAAATTTAAAAACTTATTATAAAGTAAAAATGTTTCTTAAACAGTTCAAAAAATAAACAATAAATTTTGTAATTTTATACAGAAATTGTTGACCATTTAGAATACTTTTATGAATTTTTCAATACCATTTGAATCTATTTGACTCTCCTGATGTAGATAGATTTCTTTTAGAAGGCTTAAAAATTTTTAAAAGCGTATGCAATCATAAATGTGTACAGCTATATTATATAGCTGTACATATATAGCCTATATATGTCAGCATATGTATGCATTGCTTTAAATCTTTTTTTAATCATGGCCACTCATAGGGGCGCTATTCAAGACTACGCCCTAGGTGTTATGAAAGCTCCATGCGGCCCTGGACCAAAGTCAACATATAATTTAATTTTACTAATATTAAAAGAAATGTTTAAAGAGTGTTATATATATAAACAATAAAAAAACAATTAATAATAAAAAATTATAAATAATAGTTACAATAGTTAGGCAAGAAAAATGTTTTAGTTTTTTTAAAAACATTATTCGATGGTTTTAGAAGGTCTTCTATTTTAAAGTATATTTAAGGGTTATTTGATTTAATTTTAGAAACATAGTAGAAAATGACTTTTAAAAAGATAATGCGGGATATGATTTTTTTCATACTTTTTTTTATTTTAATTGCTGCTGAAATAAATCGTTTTGAATCTGCTTACAGAAACAGAATGCTTAATTCTAAGACATCTCGAGAAAGTATTGTATCTTCTTTTCAAAAAGATTGGAGATGTAAGGTTATATTTAACGCAATTACTTGCATATTATGAGTTTTAGTATTTTAATTATTATTATTTATTAATATTTAAAAAAAAAGGGGTAAAATAAAATTTTTTCAAAGAAGTTCTTAAGTTTATAAATGTTGAACTAAAACTCGACTGTGAAGTGATATTTTTAAAAATATTTTTACGGCATTCACAACAATTTTTATTTCAATAACAAATTTAAAAATACGCGCGAAGAAAAAACGCGCGTAATTATATGTCAAAGCTGTAACAACTGAGAATCCGATGTAGAAGAGTACACTAATAATATATATTTTTCTATAACAGCTATTGTTAGTTTTTGAAGAATTATTGTTTCTTTATAATATATCTAAACAATTAGTGTAGATAGATCTTAAATTGATCAATTGAATCAGCTTCTAATAGAAGCGGACTCAACCGATCAATTCAAGAACAAGTTAAATAATAGAAGTTCTATAATTTTGCTTGTAAGCTATTCCGTGGATCGATTGCTCTGTTGGAGAAAGTTAAATCTAGACTTGCTTTTACAAAAAGACTTGTTAAAAATGTACTTGTAATTAAATTTTAATATTAAATTTTTGGGAATCCAATTGACAATATCATGATTGTGTTCAATTTTTAATTGCTGGACCATATCACTTTGTTGCATACGCCCCTGCAATGTAGGTATGTGTGTAAAAATTTCAAAATATTTAAATACTAAGATATGTATCTTTAGAAAGAGTTTTTATTTAATACAATGGTGAAAGTTTTATCAAAATTAGATGATTCTATAAAAAGTAATGAACATTTAAGTGACAATTTGAGTACAAGGATTACTTACGAAAACTGTGACCAATTTTAGAATTTTTTACTGGCTAAATTGCTGTATTGTTATTTCTTATCTAAATTAGAAAAGTTTTTAGAGATGTAAAAAAAATATATACTAAAATTTCACATGAGGCAGCTGGGAGAAAATTTACCTGCCCCCTTCGTTTTGTAAGCATTTAGACATAAAATATAAAAGTTTTTTTTTCAGTTAAATTTATACAAAATGTAAAAAAAAAAAAAAAAGAATAGTGGTTATGAAAATAGCTGTTTTCTTTTTTGAAGAGTTTAGTTGCCTAATAGAAAGAAGTCCAAAGATGCATATCATCTTGTTAAAGCTCTGTGTTCTGAATCAAAATTTTGCAGTGATACCTAAAATGAATCTAATATATACAGGGTTTAGTTTAACATTCAGACATCACTGCCCCTCCCCCCAGACTGTTTTTAATATCTGACTTATGGAGGCAACCTACCGTTGTTCATTTTTATGCAAAAAATTAACAATGGTTTGTTGCCCTCCTCTAGCAGGTTTCAAGAATGGTCTAAGGGAGGGCGATATAGGACTGTTAAATTGAGCCCTGTATATAAATGAAAATGATGACAGAAAAATAATTGATATAATAATAGTTCAATTATGTGAAATTGGTGGCAAAACATCCATGAGCAAACTAATAAATTAAATTAAACTAACTTTTAACTTCTCTAAATCAAATTCAATATAACAAAAGCATTTTACTTGAATTAATATACTACAAAATATACTTACATAATATAATTAGTATGCAATCATATTATCCTTTACATTATTCTATATATTTAAATAACACATAATAGCAGTTGATTTTTATTAAACTGAATTACATAAGTTTAAATCATATACTAACTCTAAGCACCTATATTATTCAGAGTTAAAAGGCTAAATACTCTAAACAATGTTTAAAAACAAAAGTATATATTTATATATTACCAACATTAATATACTTTATGATTTAACAACTTGCACACATCACACCCATGTTACAATTTATTCATGATAACACTAAATTACCACATATGATATCTGCAGACAGTTGATATTTATTTATATCATACTCAAAAGCATCCTCGTCCTCACACTCATTTGGTTTAAAGTAAGAAATACATCTTTTTTTTAAATCTAAGAAATTGGTTGTTGTAGATTTCCTGACTGTTGAAGGCAGAATCATACCACATGTGGTAGATATTTCGTTGAATAACATCACCAAAAAGAATGTCTTTAATATCTGCAGCCTCATTATTTTCTAAATCAGGAAACAGTAGTTTTATTTGCTGAGGTATACAAATTATTAAAATCTTTTCAAAATTTTTTCTTTCTTTTTCTTCCTTTTTTTAAAGCTTGCCAGCCATTTGTTTAATCAGTTCTATCTTCAATTCCTCATGTTTTTGTATGTTTGCTAATCGCTTTTTTCTCGCAGTGGAGATGGCCCATATTATCAACTTGTTTCAAATATAAATATGTTTTTCATAGAGGAAATCTGTGTTTTATTTTTGCATACACACAGTTTTGCTGATAAGAAACAAAGTGTAGCATTTGGAGCTTTTTATTTCTAGTGCTTTGCAGCATTAAACATACCCGTAAGTTCTTCTGAGTCAAGGTTGTGAAGTCGTGTTAGTAATATCTTGATAAGGGCTTTAAGTTTATCAGTTGTATTTAAGTTAAACAATCGCTAGTATTGCTGGTCAATGACGTGTGGTCATCCAAGAACCAATCAATAATTTTACCATTTAAACTTTTTTACTAATTAAACCTATTGCACACAGCTCGTGCATACCTAAAAATAAATATACAAATGTGAAAAGAAAAAAAACGACATATAAAAGATTAAAAGCTATTATCTGATTTCCTATATATAAAATATATATATACAATTTACCTGTGTCTGATGTAATGTCTTTGAGCAAGCTATTTCTTAGTCCTGCACATGAAACCACACCAGAATGCAGGAAAGTTTTCAACATAGCGTAGTGATGAATCAAGACTCCACATGTGTAAAAAAAGATGTGTATTCGATTTTCCCTGTAGCATGGTAGTAGTCCTCTAAAAAGCTTGTTGTTATCCAAAAATACAAACCCTTTGGGCCACCTTTAAATAAGAAAACACAATGTATATACATATATACCCTGTATAGAAGTCTTTGAATCTTTTTCCTTTTTATAAACCTTGTATACAAAAACAGTCAAACTTTAAATAATAACTACACCAACAAAATTACACTGCAATAAAGTAATATGATAAAGACTGCTATGAAGTGTGTGTATATAAGTATATAAATATATATTTATATACATATATACATATATATATATATATATATATATATATATATATATATATATATATATATATATATATATATATATATATATATGTATATATGTATATATATGTGTGTGTATATATAATATATATATATATATACACACACACACACACACACACACACATATATATATATGTATATATATATATATATATATATATATATATATGTATATATATATATATATATGTATATATATATATATATATATATATATATATATATATATATATATATATATGTATATATATATATATATATGTATATATATATATATATATATATATATATATATATATACATATATATATATATATATATATATATATATATATATATATATATATATATATATATATATATATATATATATATATATATATATATATATATATATATATATATATATATATATATATATATATATATGAAAATATATATATAAATATGAATATATATCTTTACCATTCTTGTAACGGAGTTTGTTAAGCTTAACAGAAATGTTAGCAGCAACACTGTCTTTACCAAAAAGTTTCCTTTCTAAGGTTTCTAATGTTTTAAGCAATGACTTACAAACACTAGTAATTGTGTCTAATGGCTGATGATTAAGACAGTTAAGATCATTTAACGATTTTTTCCACAAATTGTTTAACTGAGTTACTGTTGCATGGTTTGTGGCATATCAGCAGTCTGTAGGTCTGAAATAACACCTAGTTCACGCATCATCTGTTCCACAGTTGTGCGGTGTAGAATATCACTGAAACGATATCCTGTGGGTTCTCCAACTTAATGGAGTATCAATGGCACACTGTGAGAAGGAACTACTTTTAACTATTTTTAAGCAAGATATTATACCTGAAGACTCTGAAATATGTTGTTATGCTTTTATTATTACTACTTTCTTGATACCTACTAGTATTATTATTAACTTTTTGTTCTCATATTTTTATTGTTATTATTAGTATTGATATTAATAATATTATTCTATCTTTATTAGTAAATTGTTATTTTTATTTATAACATAATAAGTATTATTATTGCTTTTTTAAGTTTTTTTAAATTTTCTTAAGTTTATTTACTACTTATACTATGTAATTGTTATTACCACTATTATTGCTATTATCTAATATTGATTGTATAATATCTTTATTATTATTGTTAGTATTATTACTAATAATATTCCTTTTCATCGTAATCTTATTATTATTGTTAATATTATTTCTATAATTATTATCAATACTATTATTATTGTTATTATGATCACTTTTATTTGTTGCAGGTTTTTACTTTAGATTAGTACTTGTACTATTTGTAAAAGTCCTTAAAGGGATCCCAAACTCCCAACACATGTTGTGTTCATATTAAAGATAATGTTAAAAAAAAAGATTTGAACCAAATTTTTTTGATTAAAAATAAATAATGAATGCATACCGTGAAAAACAAATGTTGTTGTTTTTGCCGAAGCTCGTCTTCTCCATTTTTTTGAACTAATCGGAGTCTTCAAATTATGCGTCGCAATCTACAGACTTTGGCAATTCCTTTGAAGCGCGTTTAATTCATAAAAGTTTTAGTATTTGACGTCACGGTAGACTTTTAACAAAAGAAACTCTAGAAATATTTTTATTTATTTTTAGTCGAAGTTTTTTTGATTATTTGTTTAGTTTTTTTTTTTCTACTTTTAATATGTAAAAAGATAATAAAAACCTTAAATATTTCATGCTGGTTCGTTACTATAAATTGTTATTGCGCCATATATTTAATGTTTATAAATTATGAATATTTATTATCTCAAAAATTGTTTTACATTAATTATAATTAATGTAAAACGAGGCATTTTATTTTTATTGCTTAGACGTTCTAAATAATAAGTAAATTTAGTTAATAATTATTAACTTGAACTAAATTTACTTATTATTTAGAACGTCTAAGCAATAAAAAAAAAATGCCCCTAAAATTATGCGAGATTGTGTTGTTTATTTGGTAATTGTTGTTGGTAATGTTGTTTATGTTGATTATTTTCATAAATATCAAAATAGCTCCAGATTAATCTGTTCGTTGCTTTGCTCATTGTTGATTTATTTCTATCACAAACTATAATTATATGTTAAAAAAGAAAAGTTTTTATTTCATCGCGCGCTCTTTTTATAAAAGAGTAGAACAAAAGAGAAAGAAAATTTTCGCGCAATTAAACTTTGAATGAATAAGAGTTGTATAGAATATTTTTTTTTTTTGCTTCACTCGTTCTTTTTTTAGATGAGAGAAATAAAAGTTTAATAGTAAATTTTCTTTGAATAAATGAGAATTGGAAGAGAAAATTGCTTGAAAATTTGTATTTCTTAATTGTGTTTTTAAAAATTTTTAATTTTTCATGTTAAGAGACAAATGCCAATTACGACACAAATTTGGAAATACCAAATATAATATGTTTTTTAATGCGCGTTATGACATTTTAACAATTTAAATTACCATCTATCTTGAATTATTGCCCTAAATAAATGTGTTAATTATTGCGTTATTTAATAATAATTTGTCCGTATTTTTGTTAAATATTAGTTGTATAAAACGGGCAAAAATATACAAACTTCATGTTTTTTATTTGATGGTTATAAAATATTGAACAGTAAACTTATAATCAAAATTTATAGTGCCGACTTGTGTTGCAATTAATTGTACTTTTAATGCAAAATCAGGATCTCACAAATCCTTTCACGAATTTTCATATCCAAGGCCGGCGCGATAGGGGTGTGTGGGGGGGTGTGACACCCCCCCCCCCATCAATGATTTTTAGTCGGCAAACTGGACCCTTAGTCGGCAAATTGGACCCTTAGTCGGCAAATTGGACCTAGTTAGTCGGCAAATGTGGACCCCCTTTCGATATAGGTTAGACAGTTGGCAAATGTTGTCATGACAGTCGGCAAATTTTGGAAAACAAGGACCTTTTTTTTTTTTTTTTTTAGTCGGCAAAAGTTGTAATGGCACCCCCCCCACGTGACACCTACTCGCGCCGGCCCTGTTCATATCTGATACTACTGTCAACTGTATTGCTTAGTGTATTCTTGTACTTTTTTTTCATAATCTTAACAGGTTCTAATTGGTATGGAGTTGCTGACATTATAAAAATTTCATTATCAAAAATCAAATGTAAAATAAAATGGTATTTCCTTTTTATCCGTATCCAATTCAGCAAATTTAGCAATTTAAATTAAATCAGCGTGATCAAAAAAATTTTATAATGAAAAAAGTTAACAGTTCATTAAATATCTCTAATTAATACTGTCAGTTTATGAAAGTAATTGTTAACAAATACTTTTTTTCAACGGAAAAACAAAAAATTGTCATAGCGTAAAAATAACCAGATAAGTTAGAAAATAGTTCCCATTGTTTAAATAAAAATAATTAAGAATCAGAATATATAATACTGCGCTCTCTTGCGCAAAAACAAGAGACCGTATATAAAACGTTCTATATAATGTAAAATACTCGTATGAAAATCTTGAGATTGGTAAGTAAAGTTTTAATATTTGTTTTAATTTAAATAATTAAAGAAATATAAGTAAGATATATAAATCTAAAAATTATTAAGATATCTGTAAAAAATAAGTTGCTCCTATAAAATAAAAATAATTTATTGTTTTTACTTTTAAAAAAATTTTTTTTTGCGATGTTTGGAAAAATAATACAAATAAATTTGATTTGCTGTATGTTAAAAAAATACTACAGTAGAAAAACGCAGCTTAGTTTAATTACACTTTTCTTTTGTTAAAAGTCTACCGTGACGTCAAATACTAAAACTTTTATGAATTAAACGCGCTTCAAAGGAATTGCCAAAATCTGTAGATTGCGACGCATAATTTGAAGACTCCGATTAGTTCAAAAAAATGGAGAAGACGAGCTTCGGCAAAAACAACAACATTTGTTTTTCACGGTATGCATTCATTATTTATTTTTAATCAAAAAAATTTGGTTTAAACCTTTTTTTTTAACATTATCTTTAATATGAACACAACATGTGTTGGGAGTTTGGGATCCCTTTAAAACTCTCTCGGAGTCTTTTAAAAATCAAAATATCCGGTCTAGTTGGCGGACCTAGACACACTCCATATGCATCAGACAACAACACCTCAAACATGTGGTGGCAACATGCCATCTATAGCAGATTGCGACCGAGAGCCTTCTCCAAAAGAGTGCAGACTCCACTCAGTCTGCCGGTATTTGAGGCTGTTGTATCAAAGCACATTCCAATGACTTGTTGATCGCACTGCCATGATTTGATTTGGTCAAGAACTGCCTCCGATCCCACTTGTCCTGTTCCAGAAGTCAACCTTGGTACTCCCAACAGTTTAATATTTCCATAAACAAGTGAAGAAACAAGAACTGCCAATCTATCAACTTGGTTGGTGTCTACTCCAGTGATGTCAGGTAGTAGTTTGCCATCCCAATGAATGACGAACTTACTAGGTAGAAAGTCATCCTTGATCTTCTGTGCAGCTTCACAATGAAAAAGCTGTCATTGACAATGGACTGTACTTTTTGAAAGAACAACAGATGTCGTGGAGCATCCAATTTCATTAACGATTGATGCAATTATCATTGTTGATTTACGAACGCTGATGTTTGTGCGGTCTAATACAGCAGCCACTTTTGAAGTCATTGCACCAGCACACTTGGGTTGCTTGGTCGGACTATCATTAGTTGGAGACTTTACAACAAATTCATCCATAGATTCATCATCATCTGAGAAGCACAACTTCGATGATTCTGCTGTTTCCTCATCTTCATCTTTAGTTTTTACATCTGCCTGCATTAGTTCCTGTCCTGCTGAAGCTGCTCTTTGCTGGAGTACTAATCGTTCTTTACGTTTTGCTGAACGCTTATCACGGAAAAACATTTTATTGTCCACAGATCCAATGTATCCGGTTCTAGATGCTTTCTGCAACTTTAGAAACTGTCGGTCTTCCTCATTCTTGATAAGATTGTCAGAATCAGCATGACTGATAGCAAATAAAATATCCAGCTTTTCATTGTATTCTTTTTGGTTCTGTTGATCCTTAGCATTATTCCTTGAACGATGTTTCATTAGTCCAACATGCTGTGAGTAAAGATCTTTAATCTTTTAAACAATATCTGGTTTGTGTTGGACTGGTCATCTCGATTTCATCCAGAAGGGCAGTAGTTGGTCATGTACATGCTGTGCACTCTGAGCAACTGTCAGTTTCTGCTTCCTCTGGAAGTAAACAAAATTCTGCATAACATCACGACCTGAAGGAAGGCGAGCTCCAGTTATTATGTCACATGGATAGCCAATTAACCAGATCATGTTGGTACTTCGAGTTGTGTTAGGTTTACACTTTGCCATTGCTCCACAGTCTACAATAAAAGTAACACATTCTACAATAAAGGTAACAAACTTGTAAAAAGTAAATATATAAGATATCTAAAAAATCTGTTTTTAATAATTTTTGTTAAAATCTGCTTAAAATATTTGTCACTTGTAGAATATAATCTTTACTAGTATTTTGTTTCACATGTATAGCTATTTGAACAGTGCCAAATTAGTTTTAATTGAATAAAAGGCGTGGGTGGATTTTAGAAAAGAAGTTACTTTAAGCAATTTTTTCCTCATTTATACAAAAATTCTAGACCCTTGGGAGCATTAAGAAAATTTGAAGAGGGACTGCATCAAAATTATCCACAAAAAATTTTATCAGTGATAAACATGGGACACCCTAATATATATATATATTTATATATATACATGTATGTATATATATATATATATATATATATATATATATATATATATATATATATATATATATATATATATATATATATATATATATATATATATATATGTATATATATATATATGTATGCATATATATATATATATATGTATATATATATATATATATATATTCATATATATATATATATGTGTATATATATATATATATATATATATATATATATATATATATATATATATATATATATATATATATATATATATATATATATATGATTATAAAGTAAAATTAAAAATTATTAATCTGTTATTTTATTCAATTAGTTTGTCATTCAAAGCTCAAGGAGGATCTAGTTACTTCTGTTAATTTAGGTGCTGGTTTGACTTTTGTTCTAGGTATGTTTTATAAATTTATTTTGTGTAAAGTTCTTTAAAATAATTGAAAGTTAAGAAAATGATTAGTTATCTAAATTATACACTATCAGTAAGAAGAAAAGTATTTATAAAATAGGTCATGGTAGGTATATATGTCATATCCTTCCTTTTTTAAATTTTAACTTATTATTATTTTTACTAGCTGAGATCGGACCCGTAAAAAAACAGGTCTTTGTATATCTATTCCAAACTGAACTTTTATATACTTTTTCCTTATATATCCTAGCTTTTCGATTCCGTAAAATATGGGTTTCTACTGAACCTACTATTTCTATACATACCTATTCCACACCGATTATTTCTATACCTATTCCTTATTTACTTCAATACTTTTAAATAAAATAATTTTGTTTTGAAAAATAACTTTAGAGCAAAAAAATAGATAGACTATAAAACGCTATGGAATGGCCCTCAAATTACGCAACGCTAAATTTATTTTTCAAAAAGTAGAAGAGATCTTCATTTCTTTAGGAAGCCAATTTTCATTAAACTTAGTGAACTTTATAGATTTTTAATTTAATCTTCGTCTCTGCCAGGAAAAATTTAGATCATTTTTGTTTTCTTCTATTGTGAAATTTAGCGTTGAGTAATTTATGAACGATTGCTTATTTTAAAGTTTAGATAAAGGATCAGCCAAAAAGTATATAAAGCTCAAAAATAATAGAGTATAATACTATTTTGATGGTTATATCTAAAATATGTTGTTATTGCGCACTCGGTTTTAAATGTTTAACGGGAGCGTGGATTATTAGCTGTATAACACTAAATTTCCTTATTGTATCAATATTAAATAATTTAAACTTTTAATTATTTCTAAAAGTAATTAGTTTAATAAAATGGTTTCATTTAAATATAAAATTAGAATTTTTAATTATATTTTTGTAAAAAATATTTTTTTTTAACCTCCGTACTGTTTTGAAAAAGTTAAGGTCGCTGCTTGGCAAGTTCAAATCATCAGCTTGCTTTATTTTTAATTATTGTTGTCATCCTTAAAATATAGGTCTTGCAAATGTATTCCGAACCGACCTTTTCTATACTAAATCCTTACCTCAATATATTCGAGTAAGTTAACTATATTCATTGTTTTCATTTATAAACTATATAAAAAAAAAAATTTATATTTTTTAAATTCATAAATAATTTTGAAAAACATAATTGAACAACGGACTTACCATGAGCCGTTTAATACTGGTCATGGTAAGTCTATTTCACACCGACCAAAATAACTTCTCTTTATTTCAATAATTTCAATAATAAAGAGATAAATATAAAGATATTTGTTTTGATACATAAATGTTCAATAACAACTTCAACAAATTTCTATAAAAAAAAAAAATGGGACAGCGGTTACTTTTTTCTTTAATAAGTTTCTGATTTTTTTTTCAAATGTGTAGCTTATTAGGACTCCTGCCCTGTTAGTTTAAGAAAAATCATTTTTCCTTTAAAATTAACAGGGCATGTAAAATATTTTCCTATAAGAAATAAAGTTGTCCCTTTAATGCGCAGACTTAACTAATTACTAAGCACATAAACAACTTCAGTATCATGACATATGCTCAACAAATTTTTAACGGTGTAATCATGTTTTTAGAAATTTTAAAAAGCTTTTTAAAAAATTCTCTCCCTTTCGTTTATTATAGTATATAATATCTCGATATATGTTATGCATATAATATCTTTAGGCCTTTAAAGATGTTTTATTTTGTATTCTAGAAAATCGAAAAAGATTTAAAAAAAATAAAGTGTAAGCAAAAGGATTTGAACCCAGGCGAAGCACTTTAACGACTTTGGCATGTTTTAAAGGAATAAAAAATAATCTTTATTGTATTATTGTAATTAATGATTAACTGGAAATCAATTTATTTATACATAATAACAAAACAAAATGTATAAAGAAAAGCATGTTTACAAAAAAAATTCAACTAAATTTGCATTATCAATAAAGGATTGGTAGATTAACCAATATATGTTTTAATTGGTGGAATAACCAACTACATAAATACTAATTATAGACACAGCGTTTTTTCATCTATTACTCACTCTCCTCCTCAACATATAAACATATATGTATATAAAAAGGTGGGGGATGCTTTTGCCCTAAATTTGAACCCACACCTTGTGAGATGTAGGCCCTCTAATTGTTCTGCAAAATGCTAAAAAAGCATTGTAAGACGTCTAAAATGAAACAAAATTAAATTAAATAATGACATGAAAAAAGTAAAAAAGGTAAAGTAACACTGCAAACCAACCTGTGGCTCAGGTTTTTTAACCTGGTGCTGATTAAACAATCAAAACCTGTAAGAAAAAAAATTATTTCATGTGAAACAGAAAAAATTTCTTATAACTAAAAAAATGAAAAAATAATGTTATTCAACCAGAAAATAAAATTATTCTTACCTTGTTTGCAAAAAAAACTAATTTCTATTCAATCTATTAGCTAATGATCAACATAGTAAACTTAAATTAAAGCTTACTGAAAATAATTAAAGCTTACTGAGTTAAAACCATATTTTAACAGTAGACAAAGTAAACATATAATAGTCTGTGGAGCACCAGAGTAGAACTAAAGAAAAAAGAACAACAACTAAATTTAAAATGTTCTTAATACATAATACTACTTGCAGTTAAAAACATAAAATAATTCTATCTTCACAAGATAATGAAGGTAAAGTTGTTAAATTGAACAAAAAAAAAAATAAAAAAGAATTTATTAAAATGTTAATTTTTTCTTAAGTAGGATTCTTTTAATTAAAAACAATAATATTTTCTTGACCAGAAAAGGACACATATTAAGTTCATTAAGTTTTTTAAAGGTCATTAAAGTTTCTTCATATTGCAAGTACTTAACAGACCTATGAATACTTGCAATAACTGGTGATTATGAAAATTAATAAAGTATTCAAAAAATTTTCAATAACAATATATTGTTTTGACATGGAGAATCATAAACATTGTCACAGCAGCTCTTGAATCATTCTAATATTTTGCATGTTCTATTGACTTAAATTTTGATGGTGTTTAGTGTAAAAACAAAATGTACAACTTTCAACAATTTTTTTTTGTAAATATAACTCAATTTTTAACTAAATTAATGTTAAAAGAAAAAAAATTGGTATTTTTGAAAAAATATATTTATTTACAAACAAAGCTTAAAAAAATAGATCAATAAAAATATACATATAAAACTAAATACATTTATAACTCTATTATTTATAGTTATGCGTTTTCTACTGCCCACTCTAACTTCTCAAAATTTTGGTTAGGGAATTCTTTCCCTTTAATAAATAGAGGGGAAATCTTATTGCCTATTCTAGATATAGAAGACTTTATTTAGAATTTGACTATTGTGCCTTTCCACTTTGAAACCCATTTCATTGGACAAAACAAACAAACTGCGATTTCACAACAACTTAGAAAAACAAACACATTTTATTTAAACAACAAATTAAATGTATAACTTCATTACATTAAAATAAACTTTAAATCTTAAGATAAAGATACATTCAAATTTAAAACTTACAACATATCATAAGCTATGGCACAAAAATTAAAATAACAATCAAATAAATATTGTTATTTACTATTTAAATAATTAGTAACTAAATTAACTTAATTAAAACATTAAAAAGTCGAACTTTAGTAACTATAAAAAGAGATTGAAAAATTACAAAATACAATTATAAATAAAATTTATAAATAAGAGTATATTCAATAATTATAATTTTTCCGATAATGATTAAAGAGATATTCAAAGATATTTAGAGATTTATGAAAGTTAAAAAAAGGAATTTAAATACTTATCGCGTGCACATCTACAGTGTCTTGTGCATTACATGTTAATTATGTCATCAAAGTTATTGATGCGCTCTCAGTTTAGAATGTTTAACAGGGGCGTTGTTAAATAACTATAAATGTCTAAATTTTCTTATTATGTTAATATTAAATAGTTATAACTTTTAATTGTTTTTTAAAACAATAAATTTTATAAAATAATTTAGTTTAAATATAATATTTAATTTTTAACTATGCTTTTAATAAAAACATACATTTTTAAAACCCCTTACCGTTTTAAAAAAAAGTTAAGGTTGCCGCGTGGAAAGTTCATCAGCTGGCTTGTTTTGTTGTTTAAAATGCAAATCAAAAAACTTTATAGTTTTATAGATTTTATATTCTATATATAAATATGTTGTTAACTAATTTTCCTTGCACAAACTCAACTTTATTGTAAATAAACTTGAAATATTAAACTAAAATAACATAAGTATCTCAACAATGACACATGCGCAAAAATTTTTTTAAAAAAGTCACCAATAGTGGGGCTGGAACCACAGCTTTCTTGTTGAGAAGCTCAGCGCGCTAACCACTCGGCCATGCATGCACACTGTTTATCGATATTTTAAAACTATATTGTTTTTAACGGATATAGATGCTAAGGTTCAGAAAATAAGAAGAGGTTGATGCAATGGAGTTTTTAAGTGAAAATCAAACTGTAAAACTTGAATTATGTTTAAGCATGTTTTAACGTTACATAACATGAAGTTTACGCACGTAAGTTTCACCTTTGCTCACATTTTCTTATAAAGCAAAGGTGAGACTCTTTCTTGCCAATACCTCGGTTGCGATGGCTGCTAAGGGTTTTGTGTCAAATACGCTCCAAGGGACTTTACTACTATTATTATTATTATTATTGCTATTATTATTATTATTATTATTATTATTATTATTATTATTATTATTATTATTATTATTACAGTATTATCTCACTTTGATATTTGTTGATAATTAAAATAATTTAAGTATAAATTATAATTTAAAAAAAATATAAAGTCATTTAAGTATAAATTATAATTTAAAAAAAATATAAAGTCATTTAAGTATAAATTATAATTTAAAAAAATCATAAAGTCAGTGAATTGTGATTTTACTTGTTAGATGTCACTTAAGTAAACCTGTTTAAAGTC